ACAATACAATATAACAGAAGATAACATAGAACAAAACAAGATCTTAGTTTATAGTGTAGTACATTGTAACATAGTACAATATAGTTTTTATATATAGAACATAATATTTGGTATATAATATAACATCAGGTTACATTATGCTAAATATTTTAGGGTCCATTACGATATTATTGCATATTCGATTGGACTATGTAGTATCCTATTGCTTGTATCTTTGTTTCTGTGATTCTTTCATGTTCTTTCTCTTTCGTATTTTCCAACTTTGCCTGTTTATTCTGGATTTATTTCTTTCTTTCGCTCGTTCATTTCTTTTATTTCTTTCTGGTGTTCTTTCTTTATTCATTTCATACTCCCTTCCTTCCTTTCTTTCTTGCTTTCTTTTTCATTTATTTCGTTCTTTTTCTCGTCCTTTCTTTCTTTCGTCCTGTCTTCGTTTCTTTCTTTCTTTTCAGATACAGCAATTCTTGAATTTTTCCAAGGGAGAACACTGTTTTCCTATGGATTCTCTTTCATTTCCTAAGGATTTGCTTGGTTTCTCCTCTGGAAGACATGATTTTCCTACGGATTCCGTTGTGTTTTCCAAGTTTTCCTTAGTTTTTCCTAGGAAAAACACCATTTTTCTATTACTTATGGCATTCGTGTCATTTCTTCAGGTTTTCAGAAGGAAAACATACGTTATCTTTGGTTGTTCCTCGGGAAAATCAAATTTTCGTTGCAATTTCGCATTTAGGACGGAATTCGTGTTGTAGCTGTTGCTGGTATTCCGCTTCATCACCTATCTTAAACACACCCCCTCATTTGGCGATTCTGGTTAGCGGGGGGGTTGGGGGGGGCGCAGCCCCCCCCATTTGCAGACACAACGCTCACATGAATCAAGCTTGCACGGCTCGAAAAGCGCGGCGGTGGGTCTTTCGTTCTTCCGTGCCTGTTCGTGTCTCTTCTTCCGTCAGCATTCTATAACATAATATAACATAGTAAACCATAAGAACGACATAAGATGGTTCGACATCACAAAAATAGTGTGACATTTTCTGACATAACAGAACCTTGCTTCCTATAGCATATAATAAACATAACAAAAGACGACAATACAATATAACAGAAGATAACATAAAACAAAACAAGATCTTAGTTTATAGTGTAGTACATTGTAACATAGTACAATATAGTTTTTATATATAGAACATAATATTTGGTATATAATATAACATCAGGTTACATTATGCTAAATATTTTAGGGTCCATTACGATATTATTGCATATTCGATTGGACTATGTAGTATCCTATTGCTTGTATCTTTGTTTCTGTGATTCTTTCATGTTCTTTCTCTTTCGTATTTTCCAACTTTGCCTGTTTATTCTGGATTTATTTCTTTCTTTCGCTCGTTCATTTCTTTTATTTCTTTCTGGTGTTCTTTCTTTATTCATTTCATACTCCCTTCCTTCCTTTCTTTCTTGCTTTCTTTTTCATTTATTTCGTTCTTTTTCTCGTCCTTTCTTTCTTTCGTCCTGTCTTCGTTTCTTTCTTTCTTTTCAGATACAGCAATTCTTGAATTTTTCCAAGGGAGAACACTGTTTTCCTATGGATTCTCTTTCATTTCCTAAGGATTTGCTTGGTTTCTCCTCTGGAAGACATGATTTTCCTACGGATTCCGTTGTGTTTTCCAAGTTTTCCTTAGTTTTTCCTAGGAAAAACACCATTTTTCTATTACTTATGGCATTCGTGTCATTTCTTCAGGTTTTCAGAAGGAAAACATACGTTATCTTTGGTTGTTCCTCGGGAAAATCAAATTTTCGTTACAATTTCGCATTTAGGACGGAATTCGTGTTGTAGCTGTTGCTGGTATTCCGCTTCATCACCTATCTTAAACACACCCCCTCATTTGGCGATTCTGGTTAGCGGGGGGGTTGGGGGGGGCGCAGCCCCCCCCCATTTGCAGACACAACGCTCACATGAATCAAGCTTGCACGGCTCGAAAAGCGCGGCGGTGGGTCTTTCGTTCTTCCGTGCCTGTTCGTGTCTCTTCTTCCGTCAGCATTCTATAACATAATATAACATAGTAAACCATAAGAACGACATAAGATGGTTCGACATCACAAAAATAGTGTGACATTTTCTGACATAACAGAACCTTGCTTCCTATAGCATATAATAAACATAACAAAAGACGACAATACAATATAACAGAAGATAACATAGAACAAAACAAGATCTTAGTTTATAGTGTAGTACATTGTAACATAGTACAATATAGTTTTTATATATAGAACATAATATTTGGTATATAATATAACATCAGGTTACATTATGCTAAATATTTTAGGGTCCATTACGATATTATTGCATATTCGATTGGACTATGTAGTATCCTATTGCTTGTATCTTTGTTTCTGTGATTCTTTCATGTTCTTTCTCTTTCGTATTTTCCAACTTTGCTGTTTATTCTGGATTTATTTCTTTCTTTCGCTCGTTCATTTCTTTTATTTCTTTCTGGTGTTCTTTCTTTATTCATTTCATACTCCCTTCCTTCCTTTCTTTCTTGCTTTCTTTTTCATTTATTTCGTTCTTTTTCTCGTCCTTTCTTTCTTTCGTCCTGTCTTCGTTTCTTTCTTTCTTTTCAGATACAGCAATTCTTGAATTTTTCCAAGGGAGAACACTGTTTTCCTATGGATTCTCTTTCATTTCCTAAGGATTTGCTTGGTTTCTCCTCTGGAAGACATGATTTTCCTACGGATTCCGTTGTGTTTTCCAAGTTTTCCTTAGTTTTTCCTAGGAAAAACACCATTTTTCTATTACTTATGGCATTCGTGTCATTTCTTCAGGTTTTCAGAAGGAAAACATACGTTATCTTTGGTTGTTCCTCGGGAAAATCAAATTTTCGTTGCAATTTCGCATTTAGGACGGAATTCGTGTTGTAGCTGTTGCTGGTATTCCGCTTCATCACCTATCTTAAACACACCCCCTCATTTGGCGATTCTGGTTAGCGGGGGGGTTGGGGGGGGCGCAGCCCCCCCCATTTGCAGACACAACGCTCACATGATGGGTTTCGAAAACACTGTTTGAATCAAGCTTGCACGGCTCGAAAAGCGCGGCGGTGGGTCTTTCGTTCTTCCGTGCCTGTTCGTGTCTCGTCTTCCGTTAGCACTCTATAACATAATATAACATAGTAAACCATAAGAACGACATAAGATGGTTCGACATCACAAAAATAGTGTGACATTTTCTGACATAACAGAACCTTGCTTCCTATAGCATATAATAACATAATAAAAGACGACGATACAACATAACAGAAGATAACATAAAACAAAACAACATCTTAGTTAATTTATGTCATTTCGTCTTTCTTTATTTCTCCATTTTTGTTCATTCGTTATGTCTGTATTATTTGCTTTTCTTTGTTTCTAACTCTCGTTCGTCCTTTCCTTGTGTTTTCTTTTTTATTTCCTTATAGCTTTCTTTATTTATCTATTTGTGTATTTTTGATTTCTTTCTTTCCTTATAACTATGCTTTATGTATTTCGTTCTTTCTTGCTTTCTTGCTTTCTTCCGCTCTTTCTTTGTTTCGTTCTTTCTTTCTTTATGTTTCTTTCTCTCTCTCTCTCTCTCTGTCTTTCTTTCTTTCCTTCGTTCTTTCTTTCTTTTTTTTCTCTCTCTCTCTCTCTCTCTCTTTCTGTGTCTTCTTTCCTCCGTTACCCCCCCCTCCTTTCGTGGATACCTGTTTAATTTTTTTGTGATCCTTATTTAATTTCTTTTTGATCCTTATTTTATTTTTTTGATCCTTATTTAATTTGTTTTTAACCCCTATCCCGTGGTTGTGGTTGTGGCTGTGGCAGAGGACTAGGGGACCGCATGCACCAGGGGACCAGGAGACCACGGGACCAGAGGACCAGCAGACCAGAGGACCAGGGGACCACAGGACCAAGGACCAGAGGACTAGGGGACCGCGAGCAGAGGACCAGGGGACCACAAGACCAAGGACCAGAGGACTAGGTGACCGCATGCACAAGGGACCCTTGGCCGCACCTCGCAAACAAGGGTAGGCCGCACCTTGGAAAAAAAAAACCCATGGCCCCTATCCCGCTTTACTGACCTAAATTCGCCTCGGCTCGGCTTAGGGTTGAGGGCGTGACTTAAGGACTGATTTATGAGGCTCTCTATGCCGAAGAAAAAAGCCAAGAAGCCGAAAAGCCAAGAAGCCAGAGGCCAAGAAGCCAGGGAAGCCGAGAAGCCAAGCCAAGCGCGCACACAAGCCAAAAAAAAAAAATGCCAAAAAAAAAAAAAAAAAAACTAAAATAAATACGCCTCCTTAGGGTTTAGGGTGGGCCAGTGGGGTTGAGGGTTGAGAATTCAGGGTTTTGGTTTCAGCGGCGAGGGCTTTGGATTTTGGGTTGTGGATCTAGGTTTTCTTGGCCCGAAGCCCGAAGCAAGGAGGTACTCCTTGGGGTGGAAGCTCAGCGACGTCACGGCACCCTGACAACACTCGCCGAGATCTTTCGCACCGCGACCCAGAGAGCCCAATACCCCTTAATTAAGGAATGTAGCTTAAATCATAATATGAATCCAATTATAATTTAAGGCATATTCCTTAATTAAGGGCTATTGGGCTCTCTGGAGACTTGCCTCACCTTGCCTTGTGCAGGTCCAAGTCCTGACATGAGAAGAGAAGCTTTGATTGAGGATTTAGGGTCTGGGGGTTTAGGGTTTAGGGTTTAGGGTTTAGGGTTTAGGGTTTAGGGTTTAGGGTTTAGGGTTTAGGGTTTAGGGTCTAGGGAGGGTCCAGGGTTTAGGAAAGGCTCCACAATAATATCAATACCAATTCTACTATTCCTGGTGGCAGTAGCAGTGGTACTAATAATGTTGGTAATAACATAACAACAGAAAGGAAAAACAATGATAGTGATATGGATGATGTGGATCCTGTTTCCTAGGGGCTTTACTGCGACGAAGGCTTCAACATCTCACCGAGATCGCGCTCTTTTTCCACTTCATCGCAGTCCTTCATCTGCTTGCCGGCGGTAAGATCCCAAATCTTCACCTCCGGTTTATGCTTTAGGGGTCTGGGATTTAGGGATTTTGGGATCAAGGGTGCAGGGGGCTTAGGGGTTTAGGGGTTCATTGCAAAGTCGCTCATGCCTTAGGGCCTTCGGGTCCTTTGGGTTTAGGGTTTAGGGTTTAGGGTTTAGGGTTTAGGGTTTCTTTGGGGGCCTTCAGGCTATTTCGGGCAGGGAAAAGGCTGCTTTAATATACGGGCCTTCTTTCTTTCGGGCAGGCTGAAGGTCCAAGGGACGTGCCTACAGCAAACAAACACAGACGAATTCTGGAAACCCACGGGTGTCTGTATGCACTAGCACCGATTTACGTGAGCTGCGCAGAAATCAGACCTTCCCGAGGGGCGCGCGAGGAGCCTATACCCGGCAGCTACGCGAGCCAAAAGCCGTATCTCCAGCGCTCAAAACTCAAACATGCGAAGCTTAGGAACATAGCATCGACAACAGCACCACAAAGGTTCTACTATGCGCAGCAGAACCCGTAGCGACCGGCTACCAAGCACTCAACGTCCTGAGCCTATTCCTCCAGGGGCCGGGGGAGGCAAACTGCAAGACCAAACCCCACATGGTTGCTTTAAATAAACCATGCCCGCTCCGACATACGTGCCGTGTACAGTGACAGCGTATATACAGACATGCATGCCGAGCAAACAACGAAAAAGAGATCAGTTCACGGGGAACTGCGGCGATTGTCGCTCCGCAGCTCAACCCAGGTAGCGCGGTCGTTTAAGCATACTGGCAAAGTAGGTGGTTTCCACGATGCACTAAGAAACAAGTCACAAGTGTTCTTGGCAAGGCTCACTTTTCGAGAAAGCTCTTGCTCCATAAGCGCCTCAACGGTCATCTTGCCATCCGTGCAGAGATCGACATCTTCCACAATGTCCTTCAAACCTTCAGTCGGAGCGAGGATGAACCGCGTTCCCGAGCGCATAGCCTCCTTCTGCACATGTCTACATGGCTCCCACCTGGTAGCAGCGTGTAGTCGCGTCCGACGAGCAGTGCAAAACACTGCGCTGTCAACACCAACCACCACCGCGTGCAGTTCGGTGCCTTCCAACAGCACCTCGAGGAGGAAGTCGCTGCCCATCTTGGCGACCAGCCTCCCGATGAAGCACATCAACCTGCAAAGTTTGCCAAAGAGGTGTGTTGATCCTTTTTTGTTTGTGTCTTCTCCGCAAGTCCGCACGGCCTCGATGGCGAATCCCACGTCACAAGAGGAAACTCTTTCCTTAACACCGTTCCGGATTCCTGCGCAGTGGCCCATCTTGAAGAGGAGCTCAAACTCCACACACTTGTCAGGATCTATCGTCTCATGATCTCCTGGATGCATATGTTCAGCTGCGGCAATGTCCCGTAACCGGCAGACGTGCCTTTTCCCCATGGGGCAATGATGCTAAGGCACTGGGGTCTGGGCGACGCGGTGCGCTGTTGCACCATTTGATCCCGACCCTAATATACGGGCCTTAACAACTAGAATAGGGTTTTGGGGCCCATTATACTTTCATGATAGTAAGGAAGCCCCCAAAATAGTGTAGGTAACTATTAAGGCCCCTATTTTAGGATTCAGCTGCCGTCCCCGCCTGGTTGTCCAGGCCACCAGTTGCCACCCAGCGGCCATGTGGCGAGAAGCGGATGGCGCTCACTGGCGCGGAGTGGCCTGACAAGTTTTCGGGAAAGCCTTCTCGAATCACGACCTACTTGTCGGGTATCATGGGGAACTAAAGGTTAGGCTTTTTGGTTATATAGGGGTTGTATAGGGACTATACTACCCAAAAAAGGTTAAAGCTTCCCTACTCTACTACTAGGACGATGATCATCAAAGAAGAACCCCTGCTATCGGGAATTTCATGAGATCACAGGGCGAGGATCCCGACATGGAACCCTCCAACCGGGCATGTTGGAGTCTCTGGCAATGAAGGCGCGCATTCCACTTGCCCTTTATTTTAATGAGAACAAAGCACAAGAGATTTCTACTGGAAAAATCCTCAATCATATGCTGTAAACCAAGATCAGGTCGGCTGGCAAGGAGGGAGCCTGGATACGTCTGGATGCAGGATTTCCGGCGCAGATCCCAGATCTTCCTTAGCGCATGCAGCGTAGGGTTCAGGGATTCAGGGATTATATTGTTCAGGCCTTGAGGTTTAGGACAACAGCCATCCCACAGTGTAATTCGCCCAAAACCGTTCCGAGAATTCATGCCAAACATACACCATAAATGCCTAAACCTCCACTCTAAACCCTAAACCCTAAACCCTAAGCCCTAAACCGAAACCCTAAACCGAAACCCTCAACCCTCAGGAACCCTCTGCGGCCCAGATGCAAGTTCGTGTCGTTCGAGCCCGAGGCGAAGAACTCGCCATAGGGGTGGAACCTGGTTCCGAAGATAGGCTTTAGGGTTCCTTAAAGGAATCATGGGACTCAGAGTTCCTTAAAGGGTTCCTTAAAAAGGGATCTATAAGGGATCCTTAGGGGCTTAGGGTTTAGGGCTTAGGGTTCCTTAAAGGGATCCTTAGGGGGCTCCTTTTAAAGGGTTCTTCATGTATAGGGATCTATAAGGGCTCCTTAAAGGGTTCGCCATAGGGGTGGAACCTGGTTCCGAAGATACTTGGAGGATCATGGGACTTAGGGTTCCTTAAAGGGTTCCTGAAGGAGCTCCTTTTAAAGGGTTCTATAAGGGATCTATAGGGGTTTAGGGTTTAGGTTTAGGGTCTACTTAAGATAGGGTTTAGGGCTCCTTAAAGGGATCCTCAAAGGGTTCCTTTAGGGATCTATAAGGGCTCCTTAAAGGGTTCGTCATAGGGGTTTAGGGGTTTAAGGTTTAGGGGTGGAACCTGGTTCCGAAGATCTCCGGCTCCCGAAAAGGCTTTAGGGTTTAGGGTTCCTTGTAAGGGAACCATAGGGTTCCACGACATCCGTTCCGACTTCTGGGGTGTTGGGTTTAAGGGATGTAAGGGTTTAGGGCTTCGGGTTTAAGGTTTAGGGTTTACGGTTTAAGGCTTAGGGTTTAGGGGTTTAGGGTTTAGGCCGAACATCTCCGACAGCCGTTCCGACTTGGGGTGTTGGGTTTAAGGGATCTAAGGGTTTAGTTTAGGGCTTAGGGTTGAGGGGTTAGCGTTTGGTTCAGGTTTAGGGTCGGGGGTTTAGCGTTTAGTTTGAGCTTAGGGTTTGGGGGAACACGCTTTCCAACTCACTGGGCACAGCCAACAACCGAGTTCTGCGCTCGACGCAGGTGCAGGCTGTCCGATGCCCGGCCAGCGAACCAGCCATCTTCCTCTTACGACATCACACGGATCCCAATACTTCGGGTCTCCTGAGGATCATGTAAGAAGGCCTTCCGGAGGAAGGATCCTACGTTAGAGCCTTCATGCAGATGCCATTTAAAACCTCAAACCCCATCCGTGCGACATTGCACTGAGGAGCTGGGTCCTGTATTCCAGGTTCCAGCACTGCATCGAGCCGCCAGCACAGCCGACGATTAAGACCTCCTCCTGCTTGTCGAAGACCAAACATTCGACCTGATGAAGTTAGCAGTACAGTATGACATGTTCCCTACACCCTACACCCCAAACACTGAGGAAACGAAGACTTTCCGAGAGCTCAGCGGAGCTGGTGTGGCCAGTGAGGCTCATCATGGCATTGGGCTTGCCAACCTCGGGCATGGACAGTCCACCTTTTCTTTTGCTACCTTAACCTACCAAAACCTGCTCGTTTGTAGGTTCTTGTCATAAACCCGAATACATTTTTTATAAGGACCCTGCAAAAAAAAGTAGGTTTTGGAGGGTAAGGTAGGGTTTACATATGGTTTAGGCTTGCTGCTGAGGGCTGATATACGGCTTTGGGGGTGGAATCTAGGGCTTGGGGTAGCTATGCTGATCCTGGTCTCTGAGTTCGTTTTGGGAAACGCTGGTCTGGAGACTATAAGGGTTGCTATAAGGGCTACTCCAGGGATACTATAAGGGTTGCTTTAGGGTTACTGTAAGGGTTACTTACGGCTTACTATAGCGTTCAGGGTTTGGAGATGCTCGCCTTCCAGATGTTCACCCGCTTGTCATCTCCGCCCGTCGCAAGTACCTGAGCGGACGGGCCGGGGGGCGATGGGGAGGCTTGGATTTACATGTGTGTATGTGTGTATAATCATATATTATATATACATATCTGTATATATATATATACATATCTACATCGAGTTATATATGTATATATATATATAAAATGCAATCACGACTTCAGATGCGAGACCCGCAGGACACCCTGGACTAAATGCAGTGGGACACTTGGCCAGACTTCTCGCCAAGTCGGGCGCATTGTACCCGACCTGGCAAAGCCAACGAGAGCACATCTTTGAGGTCTCGAGGTTAGGGATCGGGGTTGAGGTGTTCCTCCCAACCTTGCCTGTGTGCGCCACGAAGTCTTGTAGCTTCCATACTCGTCTGCTCATGCTCCCATGGCATTGGTCCGCCCCGCACCAGTCGGCGCCGACTGCACGGGGACGAACACAGCGTCACTGGATCCGTGGAATAAAACTCAAGTGTGCCCTGTCATCTACGATGTTCCACTGTAATCTGCTATGGCATACGATCATCTACTATAGCATACTACAGTCTACTAGAGTATATGCAATAATATGTAGAAGCTGTGGACGCTTGGGATAACCGCTCGCAAGAATAGCAGCTCTGGTGAGGACTTCAGTCGGGGCCCCATCTTGTGGACTTTCACACACAGCAGGTCTCATACCCTCAGGTACCCAGAGAGCCCAATACCCCTTAATTAAGGAATATACCTTGAATAAAAAGGGGATTCATCTTATGATTCAAGCCATATTCCTTAATTAAGGGGTATTGGGCTCTGTGGGTAATACATACCGTATAAGGTTATACCATCCAGCATACATATTTATGTGGTACTGGATGTGCGTGTGTATATACACTTAGACATGTACTTATTTTCCTAATTTAATCATAGACGTACATGTGTGTATATATATATATATATATGCACACAAGTGTATGTGTATATATATAAATATATGTATATAGATATATATATATATATATATGAACATAGCTTTGCATCCTCGCTTTGCTTCGCTTCGTCTGCTTTCCGAGCAGGGCCCCGGCTCGCTTTGAGCCACTGGAGCAAGAGTTGACAGTGCTACGTCAAGATCTTGATCATAGAACACCTTTAGGGGGGTAGGGGGCCTTAATGCCCATGACAAGGACCCAATGAGGCCTATTGAAGGAAATATAGTCGCACGATCTAGACCCAAGAGAAACCGAGGAATAAAAGGAAACCTAAACCTGAAAAGAGTGAATAATGGCCGACTCATCACAGAATATACAGAAACCCGAGTAAGAAATCTTGTGCACTTATTAAGGTTCCTTGATGTTATCAGATAATGTCGATACTTGATTCAGAAACTTTGGGTATTTATTTGTGTTCTTGATATATGGATCTTAATATTTTTGGGGCTACCGGACCAGGGTTTCTTAATCAGGTTGCTACATTAGGGCAATCCCCCATCCACCTTGGGGTGTCTTCCCAGAGAGCCCAATACCCCTTAATTAAGGAATATACCTTAAAGAATAAGGGGGTTCATATTATGATTTAAGCCATATTCCTTAATTAAGGGGTATTGGGCTCTCTGGGTTTATACCAAGTCCCAAAGCGGGCGGGCGTTGAGTGGGTTTGGGTGAGTTTCTGTGCCCAGATTGACAACCCAAAAACAAAGCACGTGCATGCTGCACAACCTGCGTTCGCAAATATTCTATGACAAGCCAGTACATGCTATAGGGAATAAATGCCTGGCAAAATACAGCTACGTGTGCCACCCCACCATGCCTATGCCACAGCTCTAAATCACGCAGTGGGACAAATCAACAGCATGGCAGCAAAAGAGAACATGTATCGCCATGCTCAGAACAAAATCACACAAGCCCAAGCAATTGCAGATTTAAGGGACAAAACTGTGGCAAGAAAACATTCATGGACCAGGCACTGAATCTCGTTAAACATGACATGCATGCTCTAGCAACCCAATCTCTAGCAACAAGATGCCATGCCAAAACGCAATGATTCTCCAACTGGACTTTGGGAAAAATTGAGCCTGTGAGCAGTGGCTTCCGGAGATGCTGTTCCGCTTCGATTCTTAGATCCGAGAGGCGTGCGCCTTCTTCAGGGGTGAACATCCAAACCCAGACGGAGACTTTTTGTTCTGCCGCATAACTTCCTGCAAATACTGGGCTCACAGACACAGTGGTTTGCAGTGACAGCGCCTTAAAGTTTCTTTGGGCCAAACCACCCGGACATCGTGTCTACACAACATTAGTCGGATGCTAGCCATCTCAGCTCGTCGGTGGTCGAAAACTCAGGCTCGCATGCTCACCAGAAGACTCACTGCCAATTGGGAGCGCCCCTGCTCAGCGGACCACTCATGGGGTGCTCGGCCGAAAACGTAGTACACCAACCCCCTAAACCCCTTAATCAAAGGGGAAAAGGAGGGACCCCTACCCTATAATGGGCTATATAATGGGTATATAATAGCTATATTAAGGGTATATACCTAGGGGTCCTTGTTAAGGGTCCCCCCTTTTACCCTTGGACTTAATCCTAAACCTTGAACCCTCTTCATATTGAGATGCGGGAGCCTGCTCAGCACAAGCCTCTGCGAGCCATGTTCTGTCTCCATGCAAGTGGGGCTTGCGGAGACTCCTGCGGGGGCCCAGGGTTTGGAAGCTGAGCACTTTAATGCGAGTATTCGAACTTTTCTCAGTATGAATTTGAGTGTTGACACTGTTGATGATATAAATCCTGCATTACCTTAAGGACGCTAAACTATGGGAACTATGGTATATTCCCTATGATGGGTAATGCGGGATTTATATCATCAACCGCAGTAATACGATTATTGGGAATATGAATTTCCGTAGTCTTAGGAATAACATGCCACGCTGTCGGTGACAATTGCTGGCCGTCCTACTGGAGAACTATGCCACACAGGGTCTGATGTCTTCAAGTCTTGTATGAGCCCAGGTGCAGAAACATTTCGATGGGACTGAAGAACGGAATCGTAGGCAACCCTAAGCCCTAAACTCCCAAGTCACGACGAGGGCAGGGACGCGCAGAAAGACAAGGCCATGGACGTCGGAGATCGGAGAAGCCGAGGCATCGGACAATTGACGCAGACTCATGAGGTTCCTAGCAACTACTGTCGAGGCCTTAGAACTAGAATAGGGCCCCTTCAAGGGTTCTATAAGGTAAATTATCATGGTTACAATGTTTGCGGTCCGGAATAATTATATAGAATGCGCTTTTGGGGGCTAGCGTACTACACTTGTGTAAAAGCGCACAGGAGAACGATATTCCTAATGGTCCAGGCTTCTATATTACGCATCCCCAGACAGCAGGGTTTAGAGTTTAGGCTTAGAGTTTCGGGGCTAGGAAGCATGGAACTGTATGTGAATTCTGGCACACTGACAAAACCTGATCCTGGACACAATCTTCTTCTGAAAACTGGAATGCGTGTGGCACGGGAAGGACCGTTCATGCTCATGCGTTCCATCTTTTGCCACACGCAACGAATCAGTCTTGTTTCGCTCTGACTGTATGCTGATAACTACGAATCCTCACAGCCCCTATACATATATATATATATATATATAAATATGTACTCAAAAACGAGCCTGTCGACACTGACAACCACGATGACATGACGCTGCCCAGCACTCTCCTTGTGTTGACTTCACCACCGAGCTTTGCGCTTCGGCTTGCCGCCTCCGGACGCCCATCCTGGAAATGAACATGACTGCTGCAACACGTCACGTATCCGCGAGAATCTGGGCTTTACTGGCTCGACTCTATAAATGCCTGTGGCCACACGCTTGGCCGGAGTGTCGCCATCGACCTCCATGTCCACGGGGCCCTCAGAGGGCGAGAGGTCCCATGGCCCCAAGTCTGCATCATGATGGTATTCATAATAACATGACCGAAAGCATGCTAGCAAAAGCACTCTTAATAATCACAAGATTTTGGGTACAACACACTTCACAGTTGTATTCATAGTACGAGTAGAACTGACTCCCATGCCTCTGTCTTTGGCGCCACTGGCGCTGGCGCCGGCGCCGGTGCTGGTGCAGGTGCCGCAGCAGGCTTGGGCGTGGCTTGGAGATTTGCACCTGGACATGTGAAGTTCAGGACCCGGGCAGAGTTGCCAGCCATATCGAATTGCGCATGCATGAATGAGAGGCACTGATAAGAACATTGCTCAAGCCACAAGAAGAAAGGGGTTTGAAAGTGATGGCGCTTGGAAGTTCTTCGAAGTCTTACTCACCATCGGCTTCTTGGCCGAACTCAGACTCTAAGTGGATGCAAACTACCCGCGGTGCCGGCTCAACCGGAAAATCGTGCGGCCCAGGGCACTTGGTCTGGTTGCTTTTTGGGCCGAGGCACCTGGCAAGTTGCACCACGAACAACCTACTACGGGGGCCTTAATAAGTTTTGGCGCCCATTATACTATAAATGTAATGAGGAACCCACAAATAGTATACAGTATTAGTAGGTAATTGTCAAGCCCCTATATTGCTGGTATCCTGGTGGGTGCAAGGCAAGGGAGCCGACAACTGTGCCTCCTCCTCCTCCTTGAGGCCCCATGTTGCCCCACCTCATCTCAAGACAACGAGCGAAACCCCAAACCCTAAGCCCTAAACCGCTTCACGAAGCTGAAGCGCTGGGTAGGGCAGTCTTGCAGAGGATCATGCGCTTTTGAAACCCTGACAGATCGCCAAGTTTCGCCTTGCGCTGAGCAAGGATGAGTCTGGCACCAGTTGCTCGTGCGTGCAGCTTCAAAGTGTGCACAGCCAAGCAACGGAGCTTGCTTTGTGACGTGCACGCCCAACCCTCTTCTGTGAGAGGTAGGCGTCCCAGTGCAGGAGGCTGCAGGCCCCCAGCTCTAGCTGAGCTCTTGCCTGCAGCCACCCCGGCTCTCCAAGCACACCAAAACGGATTCGCCCTCAGACGTCTGCCATTAAACTGCACGACACATAAACACTAGTGTCAGACAGGATGTGTAGACAGTTGTGTTCCGGATGACGTCGAAGAATGTCGAAGAGTTTGCACAACGTCTGTACAACCGCGAAAAGTCTGGAGGAGTCGCCAGATAGATCTCGAGAGCAGATACGTAGTATGCAGGTGAAGCAGTCAGAAGCTCGCCGCTCACCCGCCCATAAACTTAAACCCTACGCCCTGAGAGGGTACGGGACGCTGAACTGAAGAAACCGAAACTCGACTTGCAAACTCATCAGCTTTACAAGTCAGTCCTCCAAACAGACAGCCGCAACTATTCAGCTTCAGCGACCCAGCCATCTCGTAGAGACTGAATGTTGCGACATGATTTCGGGGTTTCGGGCTGCTTTAGGTTTACAGTCCCTCACCACTGATGGATGG